AAACCCCAAACCCTAAGCCCCAACAGCCTGAAGCCTAAACCCTCAACCCTCAATCCTAAACCCTAAACCCTAAATCTTAAACCCTAAACCTTAAACCCCAAAAGCCTGAAGCCCAGAGCCCTAGATCCATCAGCCGAAGTGCCAGGGTAGAGAAGAAATTCCAGCGACATGGAATCCTGGCTTGGGGGGGTTTGGGTTTAGGGTTTCGGCTTGGGGGTTTAGGGTTTAGGATTTAGGGTTTCGGGTTTAGGGTTTAGGGTTTAGGGTGTCCGATGTAGCGGGATTGCAGGGTTTAGGGTTCCTTGCAGGGTCCTAGCAGCGTTCCTGCAAGGGTTCCCATAAGGATTTTTTCAAGAGCATAGGATGCTTACTGTCAGGTCTAGGGTTCATGCACTTTGCGGCTTTGGGGCTTAGGTTTCAGGGTTGTGGGGTACGGGGCTTGAGCTTCGGGTCTAGGCATGGTGCTGGTTGCACCCGCTGTGTCTGTGTGTATCTTTGTTCGGTGCATGTCGGTGGTTCTCAAACTGAAGAGCTACGCATTTGAGGTCCCCTAAACCCTAAACCCTAAACCCTAAACCCTAAACCTTAAACCCTAAACCCTAAACCCTAAACCACATTGGGGTCCTCTCTTTGCTGCCACATGCTCTGCCCCTGATCCCCAAAGCCCTAAAATCCGCATAGTGCCCTTATAGTACTCGTTTCGGGAACCCTGACAGAACTCTTAAAAGAACTGGCGCGCTAAACCCTACACCGTAAACTTCCGAATGCCCCTCAACATCCTAAACCCGAAACCTAAAGCCCTAAACCCTAAACCTGAACCCTGAACCCTAAACCCTAAGCCCTAAACCCCAACCCCTATAGTCCCTAACCCCTAAACCCTAAGCCTTAACCTCTAAACCCTAAACCCTAAACCCTAAACCCCTAGACCGTTAAAACCTTCAGGAAGCAAGAGCCGCGTCTTCCTCGATGCTGAAGAGATGAAAGCGAAGGTCAAAGAGGCCCTGGCCAGACCTTCCTACAATGCAACTTGCCTGCGGTAAGTTTAGGGTTTAGGGTTTAGGGTTTAGGGTTTAGAGTTTAGGGTTTAGGGGTTAAACCCTAAACCCGACACCCTAAACGCTAAACCCTCAACCCCTATAGGGTTTAGGGCTTAGGGTTTAGGGTTCTGAAAAGATGCCGCTATGGTTCCTTGAGCTCCTTCTCTATTGGTTGTGTATTAGATTGTTTATACTATATCAGACCTTCGTACATTGCAGCCTGTCAGCTGTAGCATAAGGTTCACAGCGTATAGGGGTACTATGGGGTGTATGTATGGTTCCGGAAATAGGGTTTGGGACAAAAACGGGGCCTGAAAAATTAACAATATACATCTTCAGATATATATATATATATAGAGGCGTAATACAAATATATATATATATATATATATTTAATTATTCATGTATTTATTTATTTATTTATTTAATTTTTTTTACTTATTTGTTTATATATATATATATAAATATTATCAGTAAGTGATCCTTATTGTGTTTGTTCCAAGATATGCCCCGACACTCTAGTCTGATCAGCTAGGGTCGCTGTAGCAGGGGTTCTGGGTTCAGCGGGTAAGAGTCCAAGAGTTGGTGTTGAGAGACTTGGGTTAACTGGGTCCTTGTTTGCTACAATTCTATTTTCGTTAAAATAAAGCCCAATAAGGATTAGTAATGTTCATTTTCTAAGCTGGCTCCAACAGGGAACCAGGTAAGGTTTGCAGGCTCAGTTTTGTTTTGTGTTGAATCGGTTTTTTGGATTTGGGGTGCAGGGCGGAAGTCTTTAAACCCTAAACTCTAAGCCCGCAGGTTTGCACGGCCCGGGGTTCCCGTGAGAGTGTTGCGGGGTCTTTGGTGGTTTGCATTGCGTCGCGGTCGGCATGCTCAGAAGATCCCCTAAACCCGAAACCCTAAACCCCTAACCCAAAGCCATCCCAAACCCAAAGTAGGTGACATATAGGGGCCTTCACTATCAGAAAAGGGCCTGAGTGGGGTTCAGGGGTCCTTTATGCTAGGTTGATATAGGGGCTATAACGGGGGGATCTTGGCTGGGGTTCCTATACCCTAAACCCGACACCTGAAAGGGTTCCTCAAGGCAAGGCCCTTCTTGACAGAGAGTTTGCATTCGTGGTTGAGGCTCTTCCTGAGGAGTGGCAAACTTACTAAACCCCCAACCCCAAACTCTAAGCAAAACAATGCCCATCAAAACCCTAAACCCGCTCAAGCCTTCAATGTGGCAGCAGG